AAACCAAACCAATTATATCAGTTTTAAATTTTTATAATCCAAATCAACCCAATTTTATATCGGTTTGGTTTGGTTTTTAATCGGATTGGATCAGTTTAAGTCGGATCAATCGGATTGGATCGGATATGAACACCCCTAATAGAACCTAATACGACTTTAGTATAACAATAATCTAAATAATTCAATAATAATTTCATTTTAATAGAAATAAGAGATTTTAAATTTAATTTATATGACATGCAAATAAAATGATTTAAAAAATTAAAAAGGGTTATCATCAATTGAATAATTCAAGATAAAAAAAAAATACAACTTTGATGCAACAAAGCTCTCCATTATCTAATAATTAATCTTTGCAGCATTCTTTTTGCACTGGTAAATTACTCAGCAAAAGAAAAAAAAAAAATTGACGAACTGAGGATAACTTAAATATTATTACCCCACTAATAACAATCTATTGTAGAACTATACGTTTTGGCCAAAAAAATCTATATTATAGAACTTATCTCAAAACCAACGCAAATAAACCAACCACTTGTACTGCCACTACATGAGATAAGACAATAAGCATAGAAACTTCTAGCTTCCACTCCTAACCAAGTGTACCAGGAAGAATTCTAGAAATCAATAATGTATAGCCCACCCACCTCGTGAAGTAGAATCTCAAGAGCTACCGAGCAAAGCAACTGGACTAGGAGGTGACGAACAACATGGTAAGATCAAAGTCACAAACGGAGAGAATGGAGGACAGAGATTGGAGTAGAGGATTAGACGAGGAAGTTGACACTGACAGATAGCTAATTGGAAGAACATAGGTAGATATTAATTAACTGCATAACAAAAAGAGTTATAAATTACCATAAAAAAGAGTTATAGACTTATAAAAAAAAGTGGTGTTATTGAAACAAATTTTTTGTTTTATTTTTTTATATAATATTTATATATTATTAAATAAATTGATGTATTTAATATCATTGGTCTTATATGAATTAAAAAAATTAATTATTTTAATGACTCGTCAAGTTGTAAAAAAATATAAAATAAAAAAATTATATAAATATCATTTTAAAAAATAAATAAATAAATTGTGTGGTCATAATTACATTAAAAACGAAGGTAATTATTTAAATAAATTAATAAAATAATAAAGAAGAAACAAACAGGTCAACCTGTGCGAGTGGATCTTAACCCAATCCATGACCCATTCGGGTCAAGTTTGGGTTGCAGGTCATGAATGCTTGACCTAACCCGTTTATGACGGACGGGTCATGGGCGGGTTTCGGGTTGCCAGTCCTGGTCCTAAACAAACACCCACACATGAGAAATATTCTGTTCGGTTGTTTTGCAGTATCCACTGAAGTCTCTTGTATCGTCTCACATCCATCACAGATCAGCCGTGGTTCTGCTCTCCGATCCAAAGGTACCAACATTTTCTCTCAATCTCTCTGTTTATAATTTCTTTTCGTGTTTCAATCTCAGCAGATGAGATCATTATATCTTCGATCCAGAAAACGTTTTTTTTCTCAGTTCATTCTCATTTTGTCTTCTGTTCCGAGATTAGGGTCTTTTCTTTTTTTTTATGATTCTATTTAGCTTGGTGGGTAGTTAAAAAGGGGAGATTTTTGTGGGTTTTGGGTCAGTTAATCAAGTGGGGAGCGTTTCTTTTGGTAGGTTACAATGGCAACAATTAGAAATTTGAAGATCAAGACAGCCACTTGCAAACGTATTGTTAAGGAGCTGCACTCATATGAGAAAGAGGTTGAGAGGGAAGCTGCAAAAACGGCGGACATGAAGGAGAAAGGAGCTGACCCTTATGACCTGAAGCAACAGGTAATTAATCGTTCACCATTCAGTTTGCTTGATTTATGAATTTTGTTTTAGACCCTTTCTTAGCCATGTAAGTTTTGGATCAAATTCACTCTTGAAGTCCCCATTGCAGTTTGATATGTTCATTTTCATTTAGCAGATAAAAGTTTAGGATCACTGTTTCTTAAAATCTTGCAATTTAAATTATGCGTTGGTTTTTTGGATGTGAATTCATGTGGCTGGTTTTTAATTGATTTGGCCATTGATTTCTGAGAAATTGAAGAACAAGTTAGATAATGAAAAGCTTATTCTCAAACAAAAAACATTAGCATGTTTACTAGTCAATAGCAAAATATTACTGAAGTATGAAAGAAATATCTTAAACAAGTAAGTTTATCAGTGATCATTCAAGTAATTTTTCTATTCCTTTTGGTATGAAGCCTGTTGGGTCTTTTTCATGTCACTGGGATTATGAAAAAAAGCATCAATTGTTGAACTGGAAGTAACTGAAAGATGATGGAAATAATGATCATGAAACCTGCAAGTAAAATTTGATTATCTTGAGTTATTCTGTTATTGTTATCATGAGATAAAATATGAGAAGTTAGAAATCGTACAAGTCAATCATATAGGTGATAGTTTCAAATTTGAAAGTAAATAATTCTAAATATGAAGTACCAGCAAAATTGAAATTCTACAGATCTGCTGCATGAGCTTAATTATTTGGGTTTCAGGTTAATGGGTTCTGTTTATATTATTTTGTCAAATTTTGAAGCAAGAGAAGGTGGATATGAAGTTTCTTTTAATTTAAAGTTGTGATTGATGCTAGATTTTCTTTTAACAGTTTCTAAGTCACTGCAGTGATGTGATTCTTTTGTAAATTATGATACATTTTCCAGAATCCCAGTGAAAGAATCAACATAAATTTCAAAGTTTGGAAATTTCATGTTTGTAATGTGGCAGTAATGGATGTAATTATGTAAATATATTTTTCCTTAAACTAATCAAGGCCCTACATTTCTCTATCTCTTTGAACAGGAAAATGTGCTGGCTGAATCAAGAATGATGATTCCTGATTGCCGTAAGCGTCTAGAGGCCTCATTGGCTGACCTTAAAGGAACCTTGGTATTGTACATTACTTATTCTTATATTTGTTTATGTTGTACACTCTTATGAAGTCAGTTCACCTTCTGAGTTGTTCAATAATGAACTGCCCTGATCTTGTCATAGTTCATGGTAACAACTTAGGTGCTCAGAATAGATTGCTTCAGTTGCCAGAAATGGGGAATAAGACTGATCAATCGTTTTTCAGCTTGCTTTCATTGGTTAAATATGTTCTAGTTTTTTTGATGTAGGGTTTCTGTGCCAACTAACTCTTTCTTCAAGCTGAGATGTTTTTCAACATTGTATCCATTTTCGTTTCATTATGAGAGATTCATGGGTGGGTTCAAATAAATGATCAACTAATTCAATAAATTTACAAACTGCATATATTTAAATTTTCAGGTTGAGTTGGAGGAAGCAAACGAGAAAGAAGGCCCGGAATTTGAAGATGCCCGAGCCACCATTTCAGAGGTTGAAAAATTGTTTCAAACAACAGAGGCCTAGTCAGTAGTATTGGAGCGGAGGATATTACTGAGTGTAACCATTAATTTCAAACTTGTGATGTAGATTGCCATCAATTTTTACCACTTTGTTTCCAAGACAATGATTGGTATAATAACATTCTCGGATGTGCTCTGAACGTTGGTTCTCGATATGATTCTCTGAAGAAAATTGAGGATGAAATTTCTCTTTCAAAGATTCCTACTTCTAGCCACTTCAATCCTTATTTTTAAGGTATTTCACTTGGAATTTAGATGGTTTGTTGTGTTTTATCCATTGGAAACCATAACCTTTGATGAATAGTGAATTGTATGCTACTTTCATCAAGTGTAGATGCAGACAGAATGTATCCTAAGGCATAAGAAAGCTGCTAGGAGGAATATGAGCAGAGGATGAAGCGCATATGTAATTGTTGTGGTGGGCAATTACTGTCTTTTTTCTCAATCCTGGCCATTGTGGTCATCAATGTAAATTCTGGTGGGGGTTGCACACCCGGTTAATGATAAAACAAAAGTTAGGTTGATAAGGATCTTTGGTATTTTCATGGTTTCACCGGGCAGAATGGTAAGGGTAATAAACAAACGACCAAAAACCGTAGTAAAGGATGTAGAGACCATATCAACTCATCTCACGCAGGCTGAAATGGACGCCATACATCAGTAGAATAGTTTTTTGGATGAACAGTCGTAAACCAGGAGATCCTGTACAAAATGCCCAAATGTTACAGTAGACGTGAAAAATAGAACCATTCTTTGTTTGTGGGAACAATCTGAGTTTCTGAATTCTGTTTGTCTTTCATACAGAATGGCGGGACCCTCTCCTGAACCTCCTTCGGAAAGGCCTGCATGCTTCAATGCTAAGATCAACGGCAGCTGCAAGTGCCATGAATATTGCAGCATCTTCCACGCATGTTACATGTCGCATGGCCAGTTGTACCAAGGGCTTACTCCTCTTCCCTTCCCCTTGAACTCTACAGCTCATTACAAAACCAGAACCGATTGGACTCAAAGTTGAAAAGTCTCCACTGCTTTGTGGACTTGGTATTGGAATTGCTGCTGTTTGCGTTTGTCTGTCTGTATCAACGAAAAATTCCCCACCCCTTTCTGCATTTATAAGTATCTCTGACATCAGAAACTCTCCTCCCTCTTGGCCTTCAGAAAGAAGGTGGAATCGGCAACAAATAGAGTCTCTAATGCCACGCTCACGCCATGCTTCAAGCTTTCCCCATGGCAACCAACTCTCAGGCCTGCAAACATCTGGGCGAACAATCAACCATGCTCCTGGGTTTGACTTAGCAACCCAATCACAACCTGTCGATGGCACAAAGGGAGTGGTTATGAAGGCTGCTGCAACAGCCGAGCCAGAAAGATCATGTATCTTCACCTTCCATCCCTTTCTCTCTCTTCTCTCTGTTTCTATTTCTGAGCAGTAGGTGCTTAATGGGTCCCCCTGTGCTACCCTGCCATAACTATAAAAAATTTCGTTAACAATGAACAATTGAATGGAACAGTAGCAGACTTCAAAATTGATATGAAAAGAGGATCATATTAAGACACTAAACCAGAAATCTTGCCAGTGGAAGTTCTTCTTCCCAGTGCCCAGTTAGAGCAAGGAAACCAGTATTTTCCTTTCTAAATTGACATGGTTGAAGAAAATACTTGCCAGTCAAAAAACAATCCACACAATTTATAGCCAAAATTATTTGACAGACTTAGTGAATAAGTTAATATGCCATGTTGTCCCAACTTTCAGTAAGTTCTTTTTGTTTTGGGTATGTTTTCAACATTGATAACTTTTCTTTTCTTAGGCAAACCTGATATAGCTCTCAAGTATCAACTAAAAAGGTTCCAAAATTACTAAAGCAATGGCAGATATAGCTTCTTTTCAAAAGTAAACTGAAAGCAAGATAAATGATACAATTTCATCACCTGTCTCGACTAAATTTGCAGCTAAAAATTGGCTGTTTGATGGAGCCTTGAAGCTGAACTATCTGAGGACTCAATGTGGTCACATCCTCAAACTGGAATACGTATCTTGGGTCAGGATCCAGTTTTACTCTCAAATGAAGTTCTGCTCCAAGCTTACCACCATCATTTTTGTTTTTTCCAATACCTATCCACCCATTGAAGAGAATAACCGGTTTTCCTTCACACCATTCAGGACCCACATTCAATTTAAAAGTCCCGATTTGCTGTTTTTTGACCCCACGACCACAATATAACCCCTTTTTCCCTGTGAAAACTGTTATTTCCAAAGATGCATGAGAACTACAGAAACAACCAGGTGTTAACAGTGCTTTGACATCAGCTTCTTCTAGATAAAAGCTAGAGGCAATGCTATGAATATCAGGTGTAGCTTCAGGAGAGGACAATAAGGGAACTGATGTTGTTTGAATGGGGAAACCTCGAAGTCGTATCTCACATGAACAGGGGGAAGGGAATGCATTAGTTCCAGACTTTGAGGAATTCAAAGTGGATGCTTGAAACCTCAGACCCAGTGAGCCTATTGACAACCTGGTAAAAGCCTGAGGATCCATTCTTGTCAAAAATATTTCCCCATCACTTGAAAAGCTGTAGACTTGTAGCAGTCAACAACCCTGCCATACAGTAGGAAGGTCAACATTAGGCCAAAAAAAAAAAAAAATCAGAAGCATAAAATTAGGTTAGTTTTGTCTGCTAAGCAAGAAACATAACCATCAAAATTCAACTAAATAAAAGAGGTGAAAAATCAGTGTAATAAAAGTTTAATTGAAAGGCCTTTGTCTAGAAATACTTACATAACGTGCAGAGACATCAGCAATATATATACAAGGAAAAATGGATTGGAGTGTGCAATTCCAAAAGAGGAAAACCTTTTCTTTTACAAGTAGCTACAAAAACACTAAGCCCCTAGCTTTTATTTCAATTCAATTACAGAAGGACTGCTCTGGACACAGGGAGCTCAAATGCCTCCTTGGCTATGTTAACAGGCAACAAAAATCTTAAGCACCACCATTTAATCAGATTGATAACCATCAGACCCTTGCAAGATAAATCATCCGTTAAATTTACAGGTAAAGACACACAGGTACTGACCATGTTTCCTTTGCTTCTTTTCACACAATAAATTTAGAATGAGACAGCTGTCAAAATTAGCAACTAAAAACCTATATTCAAATGACAAATCATGTCAATTAATTTTGTTGGTAGCTTTGTGTGAATCATTAATTTCTTTGCCACAATTTCTAGAACACCTTATTCGTACCATCACCATACCCTACAACAGTTCCAATGAACAATATGCATCTTATCATAAACATGGGCTGATATTTTCTCAACTGTTCCCCTTATCAAAGTTCACGGACCTACACTTAAAAAGCTATAACACAACTTGACAGAAGAAGCGGAATTCCAATCTCTCCTAAAATCAAGGTAAAGGGCCCATAATTGAGCAATATCCCATTGATAAATTATTATAAGAATATGATCACAGCTATATAGGCCAACTGAATGCTTCTGTTGCTATCATTCATTTTGCCCTTCAGGGGTTTCCTAAGAACAACAATTTGACCTAAACTTAAACAATCATTACTGCAGTTAAAGTTTAAATAGGCAAAGATTATAGTTTGATTCTATCCAAACTCCAAAACAACAAGATATTTAGCACTTGGAACCTAATTTCATCTCCATAATAGATTTTCCAATCAACCAAACCTTAAAATCTATGCCCCTAAAAGCCATGAACTTCAGTTATGTAAGAAAACCCAGATGGAATTTCAACATGTTCTGTTAGTTTGGATTACTAGGTAACCCAACAAACAAGCACCCAACAAAAAAAGTAGCTTCTTTTACACCCAACAACACAATTAAACCATCTGGCAAAAGTCAAAGTCACGTACACAACACAGAATTCATCCAAAAAGAGCTTACTGAACCCATAGAAGCACAAAAACACCCCACATAAACAAAGAAAACAAACATGAAAAACAGAAACCCACCTTAAGCTGTCAATGAAGTTTAACTTCTCCGCCAACCCAAAAACATCAAAATCCTCAGAGATTAATGGAGGAAAAGAAATTCCCAGGAAGGAAAAGGGAAAATATCATAGAATTGAGTAGCCTAACCCTTTGAAAAACAGCAACCCAGGAATTCTTGCAAGAAACAAGATCTCTCCTTTGGTGTAGAATGTGAAAGAATAATAATAATTGAGAATCTAATTAAGGAAGAGGGATTATGGAAGAAGAACAAGGCATCTGGGGTTTCACGTAGACTCTGCTCAGATCACGAGAAAGCCCCCTTTTTCCATTCTCTTCCTCCTTGCTTTTGTGTTTTTTTTTT